AAAAAAAAAAAAAAAAAAGGTGAACACACCTGAATAGGAGATGGCTTTTCCCAGCCCATTTCAAAAATTCCCATCAGTAACTCCCGTTTCAAACAGTAATCTTCAAACTCATTTCCTTTTGTGGAGGTCACATCCTAATAAAACAAACAAACCAATAAAATAAAATACAACCATATTTTTTGGTAGTTAGCATGCTTAAGAAAATGTATCTGATAGACTTTAATTCATTACCTATTAAATCTTAAATATATTCCGATCACTACTCTTTTAAACAATATTTCAGCTTTTCCTGGAGATTAATTACCTCCCTTTAATATATACAAGCCACTTAAGAACTCTTATGGGGGGCTGGGGCCGTGGCTCAAGTGGCAGAGCATCAGTCTAGCAAGCTTGAAGCCCGGTATTCAAACCCCAGTACCACAAACATAAATAAAAACAACAACAAGAAAAATTCCTATGTTTTACGGAAAGGCTACCCTGTGGTCAAAGTCCTCTAAGGACTACTATTTTTATACAAGTATCATGCTATGAATTGCTAACTATAAGACATAAAACCAAAACTCAACTTTACCACTCATTATCTACCAGTATCTTTGTGTAAGTCTGGATTTCTCAAGCACAACATACTATTGACATTAAGGGCCAGAAAATTCTGTTTTAAGAGGCTATCCTGTAGTATCAATCCCAAGGCAATCAACAAAAATGTCTCTAGCTACTGTTAAATGAACCCTGAGAGACAAAATCACCCCTGGTTGAGAACACTAGGTTAAAAGAACTAACTTCTCTAAACTTTCATTTTCTTATCTAGAAAGTGAGCATAATACAAAATCTAACCTGAGTATCTCACTGGGTTACTGGGAGCAAAAGAAAATTAGGTAAGATGTGTACTCATATAAACACATTTAATATACAACACTTTATTAATACATATTTCCTCCAAGAAATGGCAGAAAAATTTGACAACCCAACACATATGGTCTATATGATTTCAGCCTTTTCAATTCACTTAAGATTAAACAATGTAGCCTGAGCTACATAGGGAGACTCTGTCTCAAAAAAGAAAAAAAAAAAATTCCCTTTGTCAGGTATGGTGGAACACATGTAATCCCAGGACTCAGGAACCTGAAGCAGGAGGATAGCAAGTTCTAGGCCAGCCTGAGTTACATAGAGAGACCCTGTCTCAAAAAGCAAGCAAGCAAACACACACACACAAACTGAAAACAGTGTTTACAGTTACTAGAAGTAACTACTTCACTTCTGGCTTCCCCATTTTTTTTTTTTTAGTTGAATTCTACAGCCAACTTACCGAAGTTTTGATTCTTAGATCCTTTGGAGGGAGTTTTAAAGTCTTTTTCCAGTCATCACCAGGTCTAGAAAGAATATAGTAAATATCAAAATTCAACATGCTACTTAATACAATGATGATTCATCTCAAATATAATTAAGTTCTAAAAAGCACAATAAATTTAGTATGTTGCCATCTACTTAGGAATATAGTTAACGAGTAGCAACTTGTTAACTTCTTTAAATGACTTTAAAGAAGGTATTCTAGGAAAAGTAGTCTAAGAAAAAAATTTAGAGCAGAAGGGCTCAGGGTCTCCATCCTCTTTAAGAGCAATAGTGTAGTATAACTTGTCAAAGCATGTGCTGTTTGACCTACACGGTGTTTTAATTTAAATTAGCTGCCAATTAAAAATTAGATTTCATGTGAAATTTCACAGATTCTGAATTTTCTTGGGAAAAAAAGGACTAGAAGCAGTTCTAGGTTCAACCAGAACTACTCTCCCCACCCCCAATAACAAAAAAAAAAAAAATACACACAGAAAAAAGAAAATGTGGAAGCTTTAGCAACAATGTTCCAGATTCTTGTATGGTAACAGTTGGTAAAGCTTAGTAACTAAAGTTTAATGGGTTTTTTTGCCTTTTTTCCTGGTGCTAGGGATTGAACATAGGGCCTTGCACATATTAGGAAACCACTCTACCACTGAGCTATACTCCCAGCCAAGTTACTAGAGTTTGAAACCAAGCAGCTGCCCATTTACACAGAAAGGAGTTCCTAATTTGGCACAGTATCCTCTAGGCATTTTAGTTTGTAACTTCTGGTGAGTAGTTAAAACCAAGGATGCCTGTAGTCCCAACTACTTGGGATTTATTTAGAGGCTTAGGCAGGAGGATCACTTGAGCCCAGGAGTTCAAGGCAGAAATTGGGAGAATCGAAGTTTGTGCCAGTCAGAGAAAAAAGTTAGCAAGACTCCATCTCAACAAGTAAGCCAGGAATGGTGGCATAGATAGGAGATCTCGGACCAGGGCAACCAGAGCAAAACCTTGAAAAATAACTAAAACAAAAAAAAAGAGCTAGGAGTGTGGTTCAAATGGTAGAGCGCCTGCCTGCTTGGTAAGCACAAGGCCCTGAGTACTACCAAAAAAAAAAAAAAAAAACCTCTCAGCATCAGCTGTTAATGAACATTTTCTCTTAATCCCTTTTCCTGGAGAGGCTTGAAACTATGAAAAGGGGGGGGAAAAAAAGAAAAACGTAATAAAAAATAAATTTCTTCTGTCAGGTAAAAACCTCAAATAACAAGACTTAAAACACCTTACTAAAAAAACTGTCAGGAGACATTTCCAATTTTTTCAATTTTGTCACATCTTTAAGTTTTTACTATAACCAGAGTCAAACATCTAAAAGGCTTGATTTATTTTAAAATTAGAGCCTACATAAAGCAAAATGCTCCAACACAGGTAACTCTCTTGCTTTTCTTTTTTTTTTTTTGATAGTGTTCTTATTATATTAGCTCAAGATGGCCCTGAATTGGAAATCCTGCTACCTCAGCCACCATGTGCTGGGATTACAGGCATACATGACCACACCCCACTAACACAGGTGACTGCTACCAATTCCAGGCTACTAAAGCTTTTATCTCAGGCTACATCATCAAACTTTCTGAGAAAATACCAGTTCAAAGCTGGGCGCTGGTGGCTCAGAACTGTAATATTAACTACTCAGGAGGCAGAGATCAGCAAGATGTCGGTTTGAAGCCAGCCTGGGCAAATAGTTCTTGCGATCCTATCACAAAAAAACCCACCAAAAAAAGGGCTGGTGGAGTGGTCAAAATACAGGTCCTGAGTTCAAACTCCAGTACCACACACACAAAAAAAGAAAAATGCCAGTTCAACATTTGGCTAGAATGAATGCCATTCTAGCATTCAAAAATGCTAGAGGGCCAACTTGCTACATTATCACATTAAACAGTAAATAATAATGTGTAATACAATGTAAAACCTGCCCACAAGGTATTTGTAATCTTAAAAAAAATTTTTTTAATGAGAAAATAAGTGACCAAGATAAATGTTAGACAGCTCTGAAGGCGCTCTGACATCATGAAAGAGGTGGCACAGAAAGTGAGAGTTGGAGAAAACTGGAAACACCCAGTAATCCTAAGAAAGCAATAAAGAAAAAGCAAAACCCTCTGGGGTCTCATAATGAAGTAGCAAAGGTTTATGTTTCTGTCCTACAGAACCTAAATTCTGCTAGCCGATTAATATTTTGTCAAGACAAACTACGATTTAGAGAGCATTTCTATGCCAATTAAACCATTCACCTTAAAAATAAAACTCACTAACGTTAATTCTTACAATGATCAAACCAGTTCTGCAAAGCATTAATTGTTAAAGGTCACTAATGAACCACATAAATGGTAGCTTGCAAGAGCTGTTTTTCCTTAGAAAGTAAAGATCAAGGTTTAATAAAAGGTATACTTCAGTTTAGCAAACTAAAAGTATCACTGATTTTAGAGGTCAAATCATTTTACATATGCCTAGATTTTTAACAAAAGACAAACTTTGAAGTGATCAAGAGTCTTAAATGTTAATTCCCTATAAATCAATCTTTTGTGCCACTATTCAAAGTAAATATAAAGGAAGCATTTTAAGATGACAAATAGCCTACAAACTCTCAGCTTTTAAGAAATATTCTGTAGTGAGCTACACGTAATCCCAGCACTTGGGAGACCGAGGCAGGTGGATGGTATGTTATAGGCCAGCTTGGGTTACAGAGAGAACTTGCTTTAAAAAAACAAAAAAAACCAAAAGCCCTGTAGTAAGACAAGACTCTTAAAGTTTAGAGGCAACCAAAGGGTTTAGGACCATTCAAGAATGTTTCCAAGAGATCAAAAATTGCAGGTTCCCTATGATTTATTTTGTGTATTTGTAAAAGGAAGAAAAACCTTTTAAAAAAAAAAAAAGGTAGAAAATCGTGTTTCAAAATGAACTAAAAATAAAGTTATGGATAAATTTTTTGAGTGAGTACACAAGATTTCAGAAGACTGATCACATTTTAAAGATAGAATCTTTAAATCTGCTTTTTAAAAAATTTTCAAATTGTTCTTAACTTCCGTTTTAATTAAGATGAGATGCAGTGGTAACACTAAAAAGACTACTCACATAAGCAAGATAATCTGATCATTTTATTCACTTATTAACAAATCCAGCTAGTAACTTCTACACTGAGCTATGAAAGCCAGAACAGATTCTAGAATCTATTCAAAATTAATACATACCACCTGTGCCTAAAGTTCATTACTTTGCTGCATTAATTATAGCAACAATACATTATTCTACTACAAATACCTACTGACCATATAACAAGTCATCTGTCCTCTATCTGCAATCAAAATGGTTAATGTATAAAGTAGACAACAACAAAAATTAAACCATATGGGTACCCCAGGCGTGTTTATTATTTTCTGACACTTACTTAATAGTGGTGGTCAAACTCTGTGCTTGCTGTTGAGTGCCATTATTGATTGTGTTGGTGTTTTTCAACTGGTTCATCTGTTGCTGTGTCTGTGTGCCCCCTCCTCCAGGGCCACCACTGGGCTTCACAGGGCCCCTCAGCTGACCATTTGACTGGACAGACCCATTATAACAGGGTTCTCTGTTCTGGCCGTGCTCATGCTGTGTTAATTGCAAAGGTGTCTCTTTCGAACTTCAAAACTTTTGAAAGTCAGTAGAGAAACTGTAATAACAGTTTATTAGGCTCTCCAAAATGAAGAGATAAATATAAGTCTTGCTCAATATATGAGTCCTTTATTGCAATGCAGGCAAGCACCTGTAAGTCTCTGAACAGTAAGCAGCAGTAACTTGCTCTCATGCACCGAATCAACTTTTTTTTTTAAGCCCTCAAACAACAAGCTTGAGTTATATCTGAATTCACTCAGTTCAATCTGAAACAAAGAAAAAATTTAATTAGCAAACACTGGAAAGTTAAAGTATTTGTTTTCCTTTTATTAAGAACTCCTTTAGAACAAAATCTCATCTTGAAGAACTAAGAATACTTCCAAAAATGCAATGTTGAACTGCCTTAAACATAAAATCTACACAATGAAACCAATTTCAAAATTTTAACATTGTGAGATGAAAGCAACCTAGAGAAAATTAGGTAGATATCACTACATTCAGATAATATGACAATCTGCTCCCTTCAGTTTCTTCCTGATGAATTCTAAAGTCTCTACAAATCAATGACTCATTATACTTAATGGTATTACAACTCAGTGAAATATCAATTTACTTAATGTAACTCTAGATTTGAACAAAGCAAACCAATTCATTAATATTTTCTCTTTCTGACAGTAACCAAAAGTCCTTCAAGAGTTAATAAGCTTTTGACTTGAAAACACTGTACTTTTGGGGGGGACCCTTTCCTTATCAATTTCAACAACAGACGGTAAACTTTACGAAGAAAAATATTTTTTTCTCCCTTGTTTTTGTCCTTTAAAACAATAAATTAAGCAGTCATGTAGATGTACCTACATGTCCAAATCTTTTGCTTGGAAAACATAAAATTCTATAGCTACCTAAAAACACAAATACTAAAAAGCTTTTATCAATTTCACTTTTCAAAAAGTACATCCTAATTTTAAATAGATTTTAAAAATTAAAGGAAATTGCTTTCGTAAAAAAAAAAATTCAAAAGCTAAACAAAGTGACTTTAATAAACTTTCTAAGCTACCCAGAATAATAAATATTATTCATCGTTGTCTTTAAAAAGAACTGGTCAAGCTCCTTCATTTTTAAATTGATCCCCGAATCGAATTACTTAGATATTAGTAAATTTACAAAGACAAGAGAAAGCCCAACTCTAATGGCTTTTTTTAGCTCCCTTACCTTTCTTCCCCAAAATACACTAGCTTAACTAGTGCAAATTATTTTTGTCACGGCATCTCAAACTCAAAATTTCTAAATCAAAAGGTATCTCAAAAACCTCTTGATCACGTCTTCCTTTAAAAACATGTGACCAGGTTGCTTGCAGACAAGGTTTTCAGCTACCTTCCCATATTGGTAGCTTTATATTGTGATCAACAAGGTCGTGCACTCCCCATAAGCAGACTTCCTTGTTTGCAGAGCACCAAGAGGATGCGGAGGGCGACCTCTGAAGACTAACGACACGGATCAGCACTACCCGTCCTGCGCGGTGGGCCCCATCCCCTCAGATCCCAAATGAGACTATGCCTTAACTGCTCCCTTCTTCCACTGATACCTGCACTGCAGCTTGACGTCTCCGAGAAGGAAACACTCCTCCTACCCCTTCCCAATATAGGTTTGCAAGTTACGTTTCCACATTTCCAAACCCGAAGGCACGTTAGGCCGGCAGGGAGGAGCCCCCGGCGGAGTTAATTACAGCACTTCCCAGATCGTAGTTAACACTTGACAGTTTCACACCCAAAACACTACCGTCATCCCCAACAAGACCTTTTGTTTGCAAATGCGGCGCAGTTTTCCCCCAAGCTCTGGCAGCTAGCTGCTGTGGCTGGGATTTTATTCTGAAGGGAAAAAGGGACGGCGGAGGTGGAACAGGAGGGAAAAGGGACAGAGACGAGCCAACGACTGGAGACTCGCAACATCAGGGCAATCATCCCCGGCCCCCTCCCCCAACCCCACTCTTCAAGTGCGACCATAAACACAAAAGGGTTGGGCCCTGCAACGCTATCTGCGCAACAAGAGCCGGAACCAGCTCCGCGGGGATGAAACAATAAGGACTACCCTCCTAAAGTCCCAAAGAGACCCCCACCCACCCACCCACCAAACCTCTCCTGCCCCTCAAGACTCGGAGGCTCCCTAAGCCCTCCTTACCATCCTACAAGACCTACTGCAATCAAGCAGCTGCCGAACCGAGTCCTTCAATACGGCAGAGCCCTGCCGCCCTCTGTAGGGCCGCCTCGCACCCTATAACCACCATCGCCCCCCGAGCCCAAGCCCCCTACCCCACCTTCGCCGAGCTCCTGCCCGCGCCGCATCCCGACCCCGCCGCGCACCCCGCACCTATATTCGGACTCGGCTCAGGCGCCCCCGCCCCACACAAGCAGCCGTCCTCCTTCCAGGCCCGGCCGGGCCTCAGGCCTCCGCCCAGGCGTCCCCCAAGCCGACCCAAGGGGTTCCCACAGTCCCCAAAGCACCGCCGACCTCGACCCCACCGCCTCACCCCACGCCCCGCGGCTCGGGCCCGAGTCCTACCACCGAGGCCACTCCCGCTCGGCACCCTCGGTCCTTTATTGTTGACTCGAAGCTCCCAAAATGGCGGCGGCTCCTTCCTCCTCGGAAACCTCCGCCCGCCCCCACCGGCCCCTTGTCGCGGCCTCCGCCCGCCTCCGCCCCGCCCCCGCCCGCCCGCTCGCCCGCTCCGGGGCCGCGCCGCCCGCAGCCCGCGCCCCAGGCTCCCGGCCCTACCTCCGCCGCTGCCCGCTCTCACGGCGCCGCCGAAGTCGCGGCCGGGCTGAACCAACTCTGCTCCTCTGCCCCCTCCCTCCCCGCCGCCGTCGCTTCCCTCCCTCCTCCTTCCCAGCCGCTCCGCATGGCGGCGGCCGCGGCTCCTCCTCCACGCAAGATGGCGAAAGGCCGGCGGCTGCCGCTGCTGCACTCGCCGCGGCGTCCGGGCCTCCCCGGCTTGGTAGCGGGAAGGAAACGGCCCCGGACGGAGGGCCGAGTTCTGACATGGATGACTGACGCCTGGGGAAGGGACTCGAACTCCTTTCCGCAGCTGAGGCGAAATGGCTGCGAAGGGTCGCCCTGCCTTCGCCCCTCCAAAGTGGACATCGGGGGTTGGGGCCCGAGAAGCAGCTGCTTCTTCCTGACCACAGAGCCCGGCGGAGCTCGGGGTGGGGTGGGGGGGCACGGGAAGCTGACCTGACGTCTCCCGCAGGCCCGGGTGGCTGCGGCTGGGCAAGGGTCGCGTCCGAGCCCCTCCGGGCGCCTCCATGCAGAACGCGCGGAACTAGTAGCCCGGAGGCGCCGGCGCGCTACCGGGGGCCGGAAGGGGGGCGGCCCGGCCGGAGGGCGCCGTGGGGAAGCTCCGGGGAGCGCGCGCTGGGGACTCGGCCCCGAGGGCGCTCTCGGGGGAGATGGGCAGGGCCCGCCCTGCCGCGGGGACACCCTTCAAGAACGAGGGGCAGGCCGGGCGCCGGTGGCTCACCCCTGTAATCCTAACTACTCAGGAGGCAGAGCTCAGAAGGATCGCGGTTTGAAGCCAGCCCCGTTCGCGAGACCCTATTTCGAAAAACCCTTTACAAAGATAGGGCCGGTGGAGTGGTTCAAATGTAAGGCCCTGAGTTCAAGCCCCAGTACTGAAAAAAAAAATTAAAAAAAAAAAAAGAATGAGGGGTAGACTTCCCGCACAGGGAGGGATGCTTCTGGGGAGTCATCTACAACAGTTCCGTAAGGAAATGGGGATCCCGGAGCCGGGAGAGGAGTGAATTCTCCTGCCTAACCCTCATTATAGAGATGGTTATGTATTTGTTCCCGTAATTACTTTTTAGATCCTAATGTCTGTTTATGCGCAACGGGGAAAAAATGTCTTGTTATACGTAAAGCAAGAATTTGCACATAAAAGTTAGCAAGGTCAAGGGAAAGTTAAAAACCCGGCATTCTCACCCAGCTGACAGACTGAAAATACTAGCGGACAATGGCCAAAGCATGAGTGACAATAGGACTCCGACCAACCACCTCCGCAGCAATCGCCCTAATGGTCTGCACCCAGTCATTGACTGGCAGCTTCCTTTTTTTGGGGGGGCGGGCAGTTTCCAACTCGGGGCCAATCAGAGAAAGCCAAATATACTCTCCAAACCAATCACAGAAGATGGCCCACCTCCAGTTAGCCATCCTTCAGCTTTTCGGTGCCAACCACGTCCAATCAGAATAGACCTGAAGCCTTCGCCTTTTTTTTTTTTTCCTTCTTTCTTTCTTTCTCTTCTTTCTTTCTTTTCTTTCTTTACTTCTTTTTTTTTAAACTATAAGGCTTTACCACTCCTTGCCTGCCTGTGACTCTCTACCAAACCCAGTGTCAGTGCACCATCCCCTTGCTATGTCGAGCCCTGAATAAATAGCCTATTTTCATTTGGTGGTGCTCATTACTTCGACACAGCCAATGGAAAGGTGGTGGAGAATGGTGAAAAGACTATTCTTGAGGTTGAAAAGGGTACCTTTAATTTTTGTTTTGTTTTGGCAGCACTGGGGTTTGAACTCAGGACCTCACGCTTGCTAGGCCAGCACTCTTACTATTTGAGCCACTCCACCAGCTCCCCCTTAACTTTATTTTTTATTCTTAGTTTAGTGTATGCCATTTCCTGCCCAGATTTTTACATACCTGTTCATGCAAGGAAATATTCCTGTACCTTGTACCTATCTTAAAAGATGATTGTGGTTTCTTAATAATATGATAATATGTGAGGCCTTATTTTGCCCTGCTATCTTCCAAGGTAGCAAGATCTAAAAGCGAGGTGGGTACCTTTCCCTAGATAGGCAAAGGAAACGGGTTAACTTTCAAAAGGAACCAGACAAAAGTCATGACAAAAATAAATGGAAGGAGGCAACCGAAAATGGAATTATGAAATAGCTGCCCCTTCTTACCTAGGAATGCTATGTCTCTTAAAGATTCTATGTCATGTTTTGTTTACTGTAATTGGGTTTGGAGATCAGAGCCCCTGGCTTATTAGGCAGGTGCTTTACTACTTGAGCCATGTCAACAACCCTAGTCCTTTTTTTGCTTTAGCTATTTTTCAGGTAGTGTCTCCTGTTTTTGCCTATGACCAGACTCAGACCGTGACAATGCTCTTACCTATACCTCCTTCATAGCTGGGATCCCAGGCAAATGCCACCACACTGGGCTTATTGATTGAGATAGAGTTCTCTGAACCATTTGGGCTGGCTTTGAACCTCCATCCTCCTGATCTCTGCCTCCTGAGTAGCTTGGATTTCATGTGAGTCACCATGCCCTACTCGCATAATGATCTTTTAAGATAGTCAAATAGCCTCACTCCTTTGCTATTTCAGCCCTTTTCAGTTTTTTGGTAAGAAGCCTAGATGGTTTAGAATTAAGCTCTGAACCCTTGGTTCTTCTCTCTTGGGCTCAACTTTAGTAGTTGATAGGTCCAATTATCTCAATACGTTTTTTTCTCCCTAGTTTAGATTAGCAAGAATCATACAAATTATGACACTTTAGAAATACAGATGAGCTGGGAGCCGGTGGCTCACACCTATAATCAGAGCTACTTGGGAGGCGGAGGTTGGGAAGGGTGGTGGTTTGAGGCCAGCGAGGACAAATCGTTTTTGAGACTCCATCTCCAAAATAATCATGGTAAAATAGATTGGAGCTATGGCTCAAGCAGTAGAGCCCCACTTTGCAAGTGTGAAGCCCTGAGTTTGAACCCTAGTCCCATCAAAAAAAAAAAACAAAAACAAAAACAAAAAAAAACAGATGAATTATTTGCTAACGCACACAGTATCCTTATATTTATAAACGTCATGCTTTTCCAGTAAAATGTTATGGAAATCCAATCCTCCGGCCACTTAGTTAATATTGAGTTACATAGTTTTAGGTGAGCTGTATGGTTTCTAGAGCATGCAATGTCACCTATTAATTGTAGTAAAGAGTTTTCCAAGATGTTTTGGCTATTTTTATATTGCCTTTAGTTGGTCTCACTCTTCCTAACCCCTAGCCCATCCAATCCCATCTCACTTTTTGGATTTTGAGTTATAAAGTTTTACGCCTTTATTGTTGGCATATTGTTGACAGATTCTCTAGAATCTGTCTGCAGGAGGGACATTTTTAAAAGGAAAAAGATGCACAAGTAGATTGGAGGTTTTTCATATCTCTGATATTAAAATATGACAGGATTCTCCCCTCCTCAAAAAAATAAAATAGGACCAGAAATCCAATCAAAATAATGGGTCCTTGCTACAAACATTATTTGCCATTCTCACAACCTGACCTCATTCATTACCTAAAAATAACAAGGGTGTGGGGGGTAGGGGGAAAGGAATGACAGGTTAATTTACACTTAATTACATTTTGACTTCAATTTAAAATATTTAGGATCAGCCTGGCGCCCGCCCCGTGGCTCATGCCTGCAATCCTAGCTACTCAGGAGGCAGAGATCAACAATCTCAGTTGGAAGCCAACCCGGGCAAATAGTTCTGGAGACCCTATCTTGAAAAAACACAACACAAAAAATGACTGGTGGAGCGTCTCAAGGTGGAGGCCCTGAGTTCAAACCCCAGTACCACAAAAAAAAAAAAAAAAAAAAATTTAGAGTCAGGGTTGGGGACATGACTCAAGTGGTAGAGCGTCTGCTTGGCAAGCATGAGGCCAAACCCTAGTATCGAAAAAAATAAATAAAATAATAAAAAAATAAAATATTTACAACCTGGAATCTGTAGATCTGTGATACCATCTAAACATCCAAATGTTCTTAACATGTTAAAACGTATTTCACACTTTTAACTAAGTTCTTTTTCAAAGGTATCATAATAGTTTAAGTTAAATTACAAGGAAATGTGTTCGTTACCCAGAAGAAAAATGCCTTATCCATACCATATCCTCAATATATTGATTACATCACACCTGACTAAGCTTTGTAGCATGGCATTTTCCCTCTTCAAGGGATTTGCAGTATATTATTCTGATTTTCCAAAAGAAAGTTCAACATAGAAAATTCTTTTCCAAATATGCCTGAGCAACATGTAATGGTCACTAACCAACACTGGAAGGCTAATGAGACCAAGGAGCCAAGTCCTGTTTTCTTCTGAAAAAAAGAAAACATTGTAAGTAAACTTGCTTTTTCAGTTGATTTACCTGAAAAAGATGAAACACCATCAGCCACTAGGGGGTCAGTAAAGATATCCTCAGAGATGGATTGAGGTGTGGCTCAAGTAATAGTGCACCTGCTTTGCAAGTATGAAGGCCCGAGTTCAAATCCCAATCCTACCACAAAAAAAAAAAAAGTTTTGCCAGGATCGCAGTTTGAAGCCAGCCTGGGCAAATAGTTCTCAAGACCCTATCTCAAAAAAAAAAAAAAAAAACTATCATAAAAAAGAGCTGGTGGAGGGGCTCAAGTAGTAGAGCACCTATCTAGTAAGTGTGAGGCTCTGAGTTCAAACCCCAGTGCTGCTAATATGAGTGTGTATCCTTAGAGAGGCACACTCGCCACACTGACGTTAATGCACACCAAGCAAGTCATCAGGCACTCTTTGCAGAACATTTGTTCTACCACCAGAATAAACTCAAATTTAAAAGTAGGAAAGCAATAGTACAATGGAGGAGAACAGTGAT